ATGTTGTCAGAAGGGACCATTCCCTGGAGAAGGTTGTCATGCTTGGTAGGGTGGAGGGTCGATGAAAGAGGGGGAGGCCTTCAACGAGATGGATTGACAGGGTGGCTGTGATGATGGGCTCAAGTATAGCAGGGATTGTGGGGCTGGTGCGGGATCGGGCAGTGTTTCATTCTGCTGTGCGTGAGGTCGCTATGAGTCAGAAACAACTTGACGGCACTTAACAACAACAGCATGTTGAGGTGGAATCCATAAATGCTGTAGTCTTTGATCTTCATCAGCAAGTGCTTCAAGTCTTCTTCACTTTCAGCAAGCAAGGCTGTGTCATCTGCTTATCACAGGTTGTTAATGAGTCTTCTTCCAATACTGATGCCACATTCTTCTTCACAATAGTCCAACTTCTCAGGTTATTTGCTCAGCATACAGATTGAATAAGTATGGTGAAAAGATACAGCCCTGATACACACCTTTCCTGATTTTAAATCATGCACTATTCCCTTGTTCTGTTTGAACAACTGCCTTTTGTTCTATGTACAGTTTCCTCAATTCTACTCCTAGGAATTTCCTAGATAAATAAAAGCAGATACTAAAAACCACTGGATTGTATACTTTAAAAGACTGAATTTTACTGTATGTGCATTATATCTCAATAAAGCTTTCTCTCTCTCGCTCTCTCTCTCTTTCTCTCTTTGTCTTAAGAGAGAGAGAGATGGAATTTCAGCCACAACTCCTTAACGAATAATTGGCTTCAGCTGGTTAATCAAACTATTCCCCCTCCCCAACCACTACCAACAGAAAGGTAGGATTTGTGCTCTTCATGGGTATGCATTCTTACGTGGAAGATCAATATACCCCTGTATTGATATACCAAATCCAGGAAAACCTCATGCTCAGGCGTTGCTCTTTCTGGATGGATGAGACATGACAGGCCAATGCACTCTGGGCCATTTAGGCATCCCACTGGAAATATACCCCTATCATGAAAATATTCATTGGGCCAGCAGTTTAAAATCTTGAGTGGGACCAAGAGATCCACTGACAACTACAAGTATTATAACCTAACAAGATTAGACCTAGGATGGAATATAGATTTTAAGATCTTTTTTTTTTTTTTCCTTTTTACAGAGTAGACAAATTAAAGTGGGCACTCCAAAATTTTTCTGCTTCCATAGATCAAATCATGAATGAAATTTCTATTGGAAGGGTGGCCCAGCAAGAATCCTTAAACTCTCTTGCCAAAATGATTTCAGATAACAGAATAATCTTAGAGTTTCTTTTAGCTCAACAAGGAGGTGTTTGTGCTATAGCAAACACTTCTTGTTGCACCTAGATTGACCATGAATTTGAACAAGATATCAAGAAAACTCATCAAAAAGCTATCTGGTTCGATAGAGAAGACTCATAATCTGAATCTTCTTGATTTGATATGTTCAGTTGGTTACCTCAAGGTATTGGGTCCTGGATTAGATCTGTATTGCTAGTGAGATTAATGATATTGTTATGGTAATAATTACTGGAATAACAAAATATTATATGAAATGTATAACCAAGGTTATGATGTGAAAGACCAGTTTAATGCCAATGAAGAGAATGATGTACACAGATGAGACCCATTTCCCAAATGGACTCTATCTCATGACCTGAGCCAATCTATTGAACAGTCAAGCTGTTTTTCTAATGGGATCTTACACCACAAAGACCCCTTGTCTAAGATCACAGAAGCTGAATGCTGAACCATAGCAGAGCGAAGAGGTCAGATGGTGACTGATTACTAAATAGTAGTATCAGAGGTTTTAAAGGCTTGCCTAAACAACCACTTATCTAAGGAATCATGTATCATCACTACAAGCCCCTGGAGAAGGAAGTATTCCTATAATAGTGATCATCGCATGTTAATGAAATCCTTACTCAAAAGGAGGAAATGTATAAGACTTCCAAAATTTGAGGTACTTGACTCATATCAGAATGATCAGCTCAGGTCTGAGCCCAGGTCTTCTTTCCCCTGAAGTATTGAATCTCCATCACTGCAGGTGTCCAAGCAGATCCTGGAAGCCTGGGGTCAGGGACACTGGAGAGAAATTCTGTGTGTCATATGGTAAAGGCTGAGCGAAAAGCCCTCTGAAGGATCTTCTTGACAGTGGTTGCTTGACTCTACAAGTGCCTGAAGTTTGCCTGAACGGCCACCACTAGGTAGCACTTTGTGTATTTGCAGTAGCAATATGGCTTCCTTGCTAGTATAAAACAAAGATCTCAGGTGGTGCAGTGGTTGAGGCATTTGGTTGCAAACCCAAAGATTGGTGGTTTTAACCCACCAGTGGCTCTGTGGGAAAAAAGGTGAGGCAGTCTGCTTCCATCAAGATTTGCAGCCTTGGAAACCCTATGGGGGGCACTATCAGTTGAAATTGACTCAAAGGCTATGAGTTTGGTTTGGTTTCTGGTTCAAAGCAGGAATCAGGAACATGACCAACTAGCCTAAGAAAAGCGAAATTGTATTAACAAAATATACATTCTTATAAGGAATTCGTTCTTCACAGATATAAAAACATAAATATCACTTGAAGCAAAGTTCTCAAAGACCTATTCTCAAAATAGAACTAACAACCTAAATTTCCTCTTTAAGTAAGTCATCTGATGTTTTTAGAATTTATTATAACTTGCCATAAGACTGCTTCTATCCATCCAAAGCCAACCCGGAACCTCTCATCTGTGTGCTGTGTCTGTTGTTCTAGAGAGGAACTAGATTTTGTTTCTTGTACCTGGCATGTAGCCCTGTAGTGGCATTCGCTATGATGTTAATACTGACATGGTACACATTGATTGTGGTTACCATTTCCTAAGCACTTATTTATGTTGGCTCATCTAATCCACATAAAATCAGGTGATTAGATTAAAATATGAAGAAATAGAGTGGGAGAGATTAAACGACCTGTCCAAGTCATAGGTCAGAAAATGCTTGCCAAACTCTACTGTGCTGAACTGTGGAAGCTCAGTAAACGCTACAGACTTTATTCCATCCTGGAAATTCATAGGTACTTTAGCATATTAAAGGAGCTCTAGTGGTGTAGTAGGTAAGGCATTTGATTGCTATGCAGAAGGCTGGAGGTTCAAACCCAATAGCTGTTCCATAGGAGGAAGATGCGGCAATCTACTTCTGTGCAGATTTACAGCTTTGGAAACCCAATGGGGGTTGCTATGAGTTGGAATGGACTCCATGGCAATAAGTTTAGCATATTAAAGGCTTTGGGAGTTTCTGGAACATAGAAACCTGTCCAATTGAATCCAGAAGTTTTGAAACACAATTAGCCACTACACACACACGCACACACACATTCTCTCTCTCTCTCTCTCTCTCTCTCTCTCTCACCCAACCACACAAACACATATAAATATATAAAGATGTAAATTTCTAAGAATATGAATTAGTACCACACAGGACACTAGTTTTCTGTTGGGAAATTGTATAAGTTGTCAATGTGAAATTCAAACTTCTTGAGTTTGATTAATTTATTAGCAGTGTTTTATAATTTTCAAGAAAAATATCCTCAACTTCCTCTTACTTAAAAAGGTAGTCAGTTTATTAAAATAGAGTTTTCCTACGCCAAAGCTCTCATGATAAAGAACTTGAATTTGTGTCTCCTTCACACTCTAGGCAAATGGAATCTAATGAACAAAAACCCAAACTGAAAGTGCCCCCTTCCTCCTCGTCCCTCTCCCTCTCCTGGTGAAGCCAATCACGGGGGTGCAGTTGCTGGGACAACCATCTGAGTTCCCTGTACTGACTCCACAGCTTAGACACAATAGGGGCCATTTGGTTTGCTCTGATGGCTGCTATCTTGTGTGGTTTCAGCTTGTGTTTCTCTGAGTGTCTTCATTCTATTCAATGTGAGTGTTTAATCAGTGTGCTGTCTTCTGATGCCATCAGACATATTACCAAACTTCAGAATATCTGCTCTGAGTAGTTACATGAAGTTTCCAGCAAATGCACTTCAGGGTGAGAGACCATTGTGGGTACGCTGACTTGGTGTTTGCATGGCAGTTGTAATGATGGGAAGTTCTTTCTTTCACATGGATGAGAATCCCAGGGCACACCTCCTACCATCACTGGGAGAAGCATTTCCTAGCCACCAGGTTCCTTGCAGCAGCCTTCACATCCTTGTTCCTCAGACTATAGATGATGGGGTTGAGCATGGGGGTCACTAAGCCATAGAAGAAGGGGATGAGCTTGTCTGAAAGGTCCTGTTTCTCTTCCCCTAGAGAGTCCTTAGACTTGGGCTTTGCATACATGAATAGTACGGTCCCATAGAAGATGACCACGACTGTGAGGTGGGCAGAGCAGGTAGAGAAGGCTTTTTTCTTGCCCTCTACTGAAGGGATCCTCAGAATGGTTGCAATGATGAACACATAGGAGATAGAGATGAATAGGACTGGGACCACCAGGAAGATAACATTTGTAACACCCATAATTATCACATTGATGGAAATATCAGCACAGGCCAACTTTAGGACAGCCAACATCTCACAGGTGAAGTGGTTGATGATGTTGTCCCCACAGAAGGGAAGCCGAATTGTCAAGGATGTGTGTAACACAGATGCAGCACCACCAATAGCCCAGGAGCTGGCAGCCAAAGGTATATAGGTAGCCTCCCTCATGATCACATGGTACCTAAGTGGGCTGCAGATGGCCACATAGCGGTCAAACGCCATTATACTCAGAAGCAGACACTCCGTTCCTGCCATGGCAAAGGACAGTGCCATCTGTGCTACACAAGCTGAAAAGGAGATGGGTTTTTGGGGTCTCAGGAAGTTGTCCAGGATCAGAGGGACTGAGGAGGTTGTGTAGCAGATGTCCAGGATGGAGAGGTTCCCCAGGAAGAAGTACATGGGCGTGTGCAGGCGGGAGTCCAAGACAGTCACCAGGATGAGGACCCCATTCCCCAGAAGGATCACCAGGTACATCAGCAGGACCAGCACGAAGAAAGTTGTCACCAGCTGTGGGTAGTCAGAGAGTCCCACGATAGTGAACTCTATCTCCAGGGAGCTCCAGTTGGCCTTCTCCATGTTGTATCCGCTGTCATGAGCAGTGCACAGAGTGGCACATCAGGCCTTCTTGAGCAGAGTCCTAGGCATCCACTACGTGCTGAGCTCCCTGCCATGTGACGGGAGAGCATACCTGCACAGAGAATGGGAGGAAAGAGAGAGGAGACGGTGGTTCTTAGTTCCTAGATGAGAGAAGGTCAGAGCTTGCAACAACCCATTGTTGGCCGAGGGCCTCAAATTTTGGGTGTGTGCCAGGGCATTGTGTGCTGTGGCTTCGTGCCCTCTATGTGAAGGCAATTGTGCGAAATAGGCACATGTATGTCAGCGTATGAGTGCTCCACGCAGTGATTTCAATGGGTGAATTCTTGGAAGTACATTGCCAAGTCCTCCTCCTGAGACCCCTCTGGCTCGAGTCAAGGCTCTGACTCTCAAATAACATCCAAGTGTGTTAAGTGTGTACACCACCAGTGACTTGAATATTTCTATAGGTCCTTGTTCATTACAATGAGGAGGGTGTAGGGAAGGGAGAATGATGGAGTGGGGTGATTCATACTAAGGTGCACCTGCTGTGTCCTATGTCCTGTGAAACACCCTATGGAGAAGATACTGCACTTAAGTGTCATACATGAAATAACCCAAATGCAGAAGAGCTAAAGAATTTGCTGTATGGGCTTGGATTCCTAACTCCAATTCTGAATTCCTTTCACCAAATAGCTGCCTACATCCCTTGGTTCACAAATTTTCTAAAGATTCTGTCTCTCCAGTACCAGTTGGGTGCATTCTCTGATCTGTCTCAGTGTTTGTCTACTCAGCACTCTGTCTGCAGTCATGGTGGGACGGCTTAGTCCAGACGTGTTGTCAGGCAGGGGAGCTCTCATCTGAATCTAACTTAAGGTTTCTTAACCTGACTCTTGACATTTTGGGCAATAATCCTTTATTTTGGAAAGCTCCTGTGCACTGTAGGATGTTTACCAGTGTTCCTGGCCTTAGCCACTAGTGGCCAGCAACATCTTTCTCCCCACTGTGACCTGTAAGAACCAAAAATGTGTCCAGACTTTGTCAAATATCCCCTGGGAGGGGGGAGTTAAGAAGGACAAAACATTGCCCAGTCCAACTACCACTGCCAACCACCTGAATAGGGATCAAAATTGGAATCCTGGATAGAATGGGAGAAAAGCGTAGAATAAAACTTCAAATTATATATAAACTTTGAGTTGATTTCCACTCATGGCGACCCCTCCCTGGGCTTCCAAGGCAGTGTCTTTATGGATATAGATTGCCCAGCCTTCCTTCTGAGCTGTGGCTGGTAGGTTTGAACTGCCAGCCTTCTGGTTAGCAGTCAAATGCCTTAGGCACTCTGCTACCAGAGCTCCCAAAACCACGGTTGAGCAGAAAAAATGGATAACCAAACTGTGGTCCATACACACGATAGAATAGTATACAACAATAAAGAATAATGTAGGATCTGTGAAACACCACATAATATGGATGACCTTGGAGGACATTAAGCTGAGTGAAATAAGTCAAACACAGAAGGGCAAATATTGTATTAGTTCACTATTGTAAAAGGTCAAGGAAATGTTTATGAACTTTTTTTGTTGGGTACCAGGAATGGGACGGAAGGTACAAGGCAAGTATTGATCTGGGTGAAGACAAAGACAGTATACCAAATCAAGTGATTAACACAATAACACTAAGGAAAAGGAAGACACAGAGAGGTACACAAGAAGTACAGACAACAAAGATGAACACGTTACATATACAATATTGCATTATCAGTGGTAACAAACATTAATCTACTGGTAAATAGGTGGGTGGACAGGCTGAATGATCAAGTATGTCTAGGCAAAAGGGAATATACCCATGATCATATATAAGGAATGCTACCAGAAGGCTGGAGGTTCAAACACACCAGCCATTCCCCGAAAGGAAGGTTGGGCAATCTACTTCTGTAATGATAATGCCTCGGGAACCCAAGGAGAGGTCTCTATGAGTTGGTGCCGACTCCAGGGCAGTGGTTGCATTTTGCATTTATATATAAGGTTGGCAGATGTTATTTCTACATACATATTTGTATATGCTGTAAGAACGTCCAGATAAATACAACTAAAAAGGGGTAAAGTTATGATAACTTTTTAGGCACAGCAAGTTGTTGGACCTGTAAGCTCAGGACCATGGTCGCAGGGGACATCAAGCTCAATTGGCATAACATATTACAGAAAAACATTGTTCTATGTTCTACTTTGGTGAGTAGTGACTTAGGTCTCAAAAACTTGCAAGCAGCCATCTAGATGTAATGATGGGTCTCTCCTTTTCTGGAGCAAAGAAGAATGAAGAAAACCAAAGATTCATGGAAACAATTAGTCCAAGGGACTAGTGGACCATGTGAACCGCAGCCTGTATGACCCCGAGACCAGAAGAACCAGATGATGCCTGGCTACCACCCTCAATCCTTCAGAAAGGGATCAGTGCAGGAGATCCTGGATACAGGGGGAGAACAATATGGAACAGAACTCAAAAACATAAAAAAGACCTGGTTTACTGGTCTGATAGAGCCTGGTGAGACCCCTGAGACGGTGGGCTCTAGCTACCCCTCAGGCCTAGAATTGAATTCAATCTAGTGGCTTCTAGCCAAACAATAGACAGGAATATAGGGTGAATATTTACATCAGGTAGATACACTCCTTAGAATGGTCAATCATGGGAAAACAGAAGGGCAGTATTTGCACAGGGGGACAGCGTCAGGGTGCAGGAATGCATAGGAAAGAAGGGCACAGGGGAGAGAGGATGATAGGGAGGAAGTGGGAAGAGAGCTGTTAATTGTGAGGATTGCAATCAATGTCATGAACCAAAATGTGTATGAACTGCTGTATGGAAAATGAATTTGATCTGTCAACTTCCACTCCAATCACAATATAACTAACTAAAGACCAACCAGGCTCAGTGTGCTAGAGCCTGGTAAAGTCCCCAAGACTCATCCCTCTTGGGGCCTGGAATTGAACTCATCCTCTGGGCTTAACTATCAGGCAATTGAGAGACAGGCCTCGGAGGTGGGCAGTCCCACCAGGGAGGGGCACTCCTTAAGAACAGCAACCAGGGGCCATGAGAAGGGTAGCGCTGCAGCAGGGGGACAGCTCAGAGGGCAGGAGCGGGAGGAAAGGAGGCCCAGGGAAAAGGGAACCACAGGGAGGAAGTGGGAGGAGAGCCGTTACCTTATTTTTTGCTTTTATTGTGGTGAGAACAGGCACAGCAAGACAGTCACCAGCATGAGCTTCCATATTTCCAAAGAGCTGTAATTTTCATTGTGGCGACTACAGTCAAGATCTGAAGCACAACTGTGTAAACTGTTGAGTGGAAAACAAATTTGCTCTGTAAACTTTCACCCAAATCATAATATCATTTTTTCAAAAAAGAATGGAATTCAAAATAAATAAAAATGAAAACAAAACATGTCCAGTCCAGACACTGATCTAACCCAGGAAAGGCCTCACCCACTGAGCAGCCCTGGACTTCACTGTGTTTCCTGGGGAAACCCAGGGCCCGGCCCTGCCCCTTACAGAGCACTTCTGGCTGTGCCTGCTGCTCAGTCAAGACCCCCTCTGGGTGCCCCACTGTGACTGCATATCTCGGAGTTACCCTGCGTTCCTCCCAGTGACTCTCTGAGCCCTTCCATATCATGCATAAGGAAACATTCCCGCCAGCGTCACCACAAGTTGTAATAATAAGGACAATCTGTGAGAGGGACTACAGATGCCTACTCCCACCAGATAAAAGCACACAAAGCTTCTCCCATACAGGACGTGGCGTGGGCATGAGGGGAACTGACTTGCAGGAGAGCTGCCTCTGTGGCCCGCCCAGCACCTGGCACCTAAGAGCGGCTGAGGAAGGGTTTGTGCGATGGAATGGAAAGCTGGGAGGATCCTGCCCTTGACACCGGAGCCCTGGGCCTGCCCGTGACCTGGTCCCACAGAGTGGCCTGAGGAAGGCACTTCTCCTCCCTGGACCTTTCTCCCCACGGGCACCGTGCATGCCCGTCCCTGACAGCTGTCTCAGACTCTCCATGGCCCTCTTAGCTGGCAGGGAGCCGGCCTGGGTGCAGGC